CATAGCAGGCCGGGCACATGACCCATAGCAGGCCGGGCACATGACCCATTTCCCACCGGAAACATCCCCCATAGCTGACCGGGTTAATGCCCCATAGCTGGCCGGGCACATGACCCAGAGCTCACCGGAAACATGACCCATGGCTGACCGGGTTAATGCCCCATAGCTCACCGGGTTGAGGCCCCATAGCTGACCGGGCTCAGGCCCCATACGTGACCGGGTTCTGGCCCCATAGGTGACCGGGTTCTGGCCCCATAGCTCACCGGGAACATGACCCAGAGCTCACCGGGCTCAGGCACCATAAGTGACCGGGAAAACGCCCCTGTGAGCCCCAGAGCTCTCCGGCTCCGGTGGAAACGACAGCCCGGGGTCACGGAGGCCCTTAAGCGAAATAGGCCAAAAGTTAACACGATAAACATTTCACTACGTTCACTGTGGCGAAGCCTTTTGACTCCACATTCCAGTTGTACAAAAACACGAAGAAGACCTTTTGTTTTTGTCCTTTCAACGTTTTATACGCTGACAAAAACACGTAAAGAGGAGCTCAAGGCAGCAAAACGAAATCCCTGCAGGTAAATAACCATTTTAATTTTACGTTTTTAGGTCAGAAAGATAATATAATTACTGACTGCATTTGCTTTAAAGGTGAAATTCTAAACAGTTTTTATTTGAGCCTCCATTTGGTCGTTAGCCCGGTAACTAAGTGTTAGCCATGCTAATGCTAGCATAACAACCACCAACCGGCAAACACGCACCTATGAGGGGTTAGCGGCTCCCGGCGGCCCCCTGGAAGAGCCCTCCATGTAACCGCGATCCCGGGCGTCGACTGTACGCGTCTGGAGGGTCAGTAACAGCAGGTTTAATGATTATTTCCAGTCGCACGGCGCTAAAATGCGCGAACAGGAGTCGAATCTCCCGGCTACGGCGCGTGATGCCCGCCCCATCCTGCTCCTACGTCATCCTACGTCATCAATGTTTCACCCGCCATGTGTTCTTCTTCTTCTTCTTCTTCTTGTGGAGTTTTATGGCGGTTGGCAACAAACTTTAAGTAGCATTACCGCCACTTACTGGTATGGAGTGTGGTTCTTAATAGTCTATTTATCTATCTATATATATATATAAATCTCTCTCTCTCTCTCTCTCTCTCTCTCTCTCTCTCTCTCTATATATATATATATATATATATCTACCTATCTATATGTACCTTAATATTTTACTCATTTTTATAATTCACTCCTTCTATAAATCAAATTCTATTATATAATATAGTTTTCTTTAAATATTGAATAACTATTTGTATATGTTTACTCCCCAAATGCTTCCTCAAAATATCTAATAAATGAATCTTTTCCTTCCTAAACTCTTTTCTCATATATCTTCTCTCTCTTTCATATTTATTACATTCTAATATAACATGTTCTACTGTTTCATATTTTCCACAATAATTACATTTGCCGGTATTATGCTTTTGAATTTTATAAAGTGTATAATTAAGTCCTGTATGTCCAAATCTTAATCTTGTTATCACCCTCTCCTCTTTTCTATTTCGTCTTCCATTTCTTGTTTCTCTTACTGTTTTTTTAATTTTATAAAACCATCTACCTGTTTTTCCTTCATCCCACCTTTGTTGCCAGCCATGTGTTCTTCTTCTTCCTCTTTTTTTTTAATGGCGGTTGGCAAACAACTTTTTAGGTGCATTACCGCCACCTTCCAGAATGGAGTATGGATCCGACAATCTATTAAATTATTTCTAACACACCCGTTCTTCTTCAAAAACTGAAAACACTCCCAAAAACCACATCCCCAGACGACCTCTGAAACAAATCCCCCATATCCAATTTTATTCCATTCCTGCCTAACTCTCTACATAACCTTTCTCTTTCTCGAGTATATTTATTACACTAAAAGAAAACATGCTGGACTGTTTCCAATTTCCCACAACCACAACACCCTGTATTATGCTTATTCATTATTTTAAGATTACTATTTAATCCTGTGTGTCCAAATCTTATCCTAGATATAATGTCTTCTTCTTTTTTAATTCTATTACATTTTCTTAATTCCCGCCATGTGTTTGAAACTCTGTGAAAACTTCTGAAAAAATAAACAATAAATTCAACTTAACTTAACTTATTCAACTTAAACTCTTATATGAAAACAAATCATAATGTCCTATATTTATATATATATTTAAATTACTCTCTATTATTCATGTCTATTAAAACAAAAGAAAAACACAAACATCACTGGTCCTGCATCCATAATCAATTTTATTCCCAGATAGGATCTGCTGTAAAAAAAACAAAACTAATAAAAAATAAAAGCAATAGAAAAGTATTATTTCATTTTTACAAGGTAAATACATTTTACATTTGATAGTTTAAAAATATTTTTACAAAATCTTTTTGCTTTTTACCAACCAGACATGAAAATATTATTAAGATATCCAACAGTCCCAAAGAAGAGCAAACATCAAAGTGAAAGATGTATTTTCATTATAACAAGTGTCCCAAAAAGTTTTTTTAAAAACCCCAAACCCTCAGAACAGTTCCTTACAAAGTTTTCCTCGTGTAAATATTCCACATTAGCATGTGAAAAATATGGATAGTGTGGATTCTTCCTATAGCTTCTTTATCATTTTTGCAAATCCAGTGGAGCCATGCTCCTTTAATAAGGCACAATATTGCATTAATAATGTGAGCAAAATTACACAAACATCCAGCATTTTTTTCCTATGAAATAAGACCTAAAAGCTTGTGGTGGATAAAAGAACCAAAACAAATCCAGATATGTTTCATGTGTTCTCAGAGCTACCACAGGTTGCCAGCTTAGCAAACCTGGCAACCCGACCCAACTTTACTTTTAGAGCCCTTTAAGAACAGCTAAAGTTGAGGGCTGTACGTGAACAAATAAGAAAGGAAACGAGTGAAAACAATAAAAACAATTAGCAAATAACAATGTTAAAACAATAAAACACTAAAACCCCCAAAAAATATCATGTTGGGTTAAAAGCCAAGGAATAAAAATGAGTTTTAAGACGACTTTCAAACAAAGCATGGTAATAGAAATCTATCACCAGGTTGGGGTCAAGGAATGATCTTTAGTCACCTAAAACCCCAAAGCTACATTCATAAAACATTTAAAAAAAACTCACTAGTTATTCATTTCCCCCTTTAGATAGATATTTTCAGGCTGTAATCTATATTGGCCTGCACGTAGATCCCCTCACTTAAAAAAAATTCATGCCCACCCATCCATTTTCGTAACCTCTTATCCCCTTATGGGGTCGGGGGGGTGGAGCCTATCCCAGTAGCCAATGGGGAGAGGCGGGGTCACCCTGGACGGTCCCCAGTCCATCAAAGGGACACACAGAGACACGCAAGGACCAACAACCACACACACTCCCTAAAGGGGAATCTGTCTAAAATGAGACATTGGGTCAGCATGATGAAATATTTTTAAAAGTTTAGCCACTATTAAGTTTTTCTGAAGGAAATGATAATCAATATATAAATGATAATCCATCCACCAGTCAGTCTTTATCTTTAGAAGTTATCAGATGAAGCTGAGGCTTTTAGAGTAGAGCATTTAGCCTGATCTATAGTTTAAATGGGATGATTTTCAATCAGATGTATCATTTTCTATGAAAACAAGTAGACGAATATGAGAGTGAGTGAAGCATTATTGGGGATTTGTATAAATGCAATGTATTTTTATGCTCTACCGTAAAAATGGAAAAATATACATATGAAACTTTGTGCACATCAGTTTGAGTCTCATTGGAAGTCCAGCTTGGAGAAGCTGGAAGCTTTTTGACAGGTCACAAACAAACCAGGTTTCTCCACATTCATCATTCTTCCCCTAAAGCTGATGATATCCAACACAAAGATGCTTGAAGACTTTCACAGCTTCTCCAACTGCACCACCACCATGCGCAGTTTATCCACCAGCACTGCAGAACAACAAAGACACTCAGATTTTAAAAGCAATTAAACAGTCTTTTTTTTAACTTTCCATGTTCTTTTACTTAGACTTAGACAGTACTTTATTGATCCCTTGGGAAGACTCCCTCAGGAAATGAAGGTTACCAGCAGCTTACAGGGCAAAAAAGTGTTAAGTTAAATTAAATGAAATCAAGCAAAAAAATACAAAAAATACAGATTAATTAGAGTGTATAGAATAAGTGTTGTGTGTATGTAATATAGGAGTTTGGCGGATAGATTGACCAGTGATATGGTTTGCACTATGTGGTGTGTCCTGATAAATATGGAATTCACATTTTACAGAAAAAATATAAGTGTATATATATATATACACAAGTGTATATTAAAAGTGTAATACTGTCTATTTTTAGTTAGTCAAACAACTATAATCCATCATTGTGCCGAACTACGAGAAAATAAAAAAATACCTATGTAGTCAGAGGTAAAGAGCAAGAATTTGAAGTATGGACACCCTTAATGCTCTTTCTTAAGCAACAGTAGATCGCATTTATTTGTAAGACTCCTGCATGTAATAGTATCATGTATTGGTTTTGTTTATTCTTTTAATTTCTACATTATTATTTGTAATTGTAATAATTGTTATTGTGCAACGTACGTACTTTTTGAATTCTTTATTTGAATTGATTTAAATAAAAAAAATAGTTTTTTGTGTTTAGTTTTGTATGGTGTAGCACGTATCAACGTGTGTTTGTATTCTTGTTGAAAATTAATAAAAAATATTCTTTAAAAAATAAAAAGGTGGTGAAAAGACTTGTGCTTTACCCCCAGAAGTGGGCCTCTGGAAGCCGTCGTAGGCCCGGCAGGCGTCGATCAGCTCTGCCAGGCTCTCAGGGCACTCTGGAGGACAAGGCTCCAAGAATTTCTGCTCACACACTTTGGCGTAAATCTCCTCGTCTTTGCAACCTTGACAAAAGAGTGAGGATTTTTTTAAAGATACATGAAAGGATCTGACTTAGAACCGTCTTTGTTGTAGATTCTTTCAAAGGGCAGGAACCACAAAATCAAGATCGACTGATAGCATTTGACAATAAAAGGAAAGAAGACAGAAAATGGAACAAACAAACAAATCAATCAAATGATTAAACCCTCTTTAAAAACTATATTAAAACCGATCAATCTGTACCTCCGAAATTGTGTAAGATTCGGTTATGTAAAAATACTTCCTCAAGTTGAGGAACAGACTCCCCCTTAAACCTAAAGTGAGCAGTCTTCCTATTTAAGACGAACCTTAGACTTGAATGTGTAAGAAAAAGACTTCAGAACCAATATAAAGTCCTCGTCAAGTTATAGTTAATGCACACTTGGTGTGTATATCCATTATGCTGAACACAATTCTAAGGTAGTTTAAATAGATAGTAAGTTTAGATGTATTAAAAATTGGATTGAGTCAAATGTTTGGTCTTTCCTGGATCAAAAACGGCAAAACTGTTATTGGAGGTTGATTTTTAAGTTCTGCAGTTTTGAGGTTTTATGATTTAACCTTTACCAAGTTGTACAAAATCACATAAGCTCCACACACAGAAATCCGTTAGTTTTTGTTGTCTCGTGCATTTATCCCTGTTCAAGCTCAATTGAATCAGTTTTGATTCATGGCTTCCTGAAATAAAATTAATTTTACATAACCGAACAGATTGATTAGTTTTAATATCATTTTTAAAGACGGTTTAATCATTTATTGATTGATTTGTTTGTTTGTTCCATTTTCTATCTTCTTTCCTTTTATTGTCTAATGCTATCAGTCGATCTTGATTTTGTTGAACTTGTGACATTTTTTAAAACATGTTAAAGTAAGAAAAGCACACTAATAAAAAACTGAGATGTTTGATAGACTCACCATCAAAAGGCTTCTTACGGGTTGCAATTTCCCACATGACGATTCCAAGACTAAAACACAAGTTTGGTAGAGAAACATGCACTTTAAATGCTACTATTAACAAGAAATCTAGAAAAATTGCGTTGAGCAATTCTAAAACGAACGCTCAGAATTCGTAGCTGCTTTTAAACTAATATTTTGGGTTTTATGAAGTTGTACAGAGGGACCCCGGACTCCCACTGACCTGTAGATTTCACACTTTTTATTGTAGTTATAGTTGAGGTCGTTGAGCTGTTCGGGGGATACGTAACACAGGGAGGAGGTTTCCTTTGCCTTGGTGGTGGCGTTTCTGATCGACGTCTCCGTTTTCGTCAGCTCAAAACCTGACAGCTGAAAAATAAGAGTAACAGTGTGAACGCAAAGGTTAATTAAAGCGGAACTATTCCCAGCCTGGTTCGGATCCAGTACCTTGATTCTATGGTCTTCAGTCACTAGGAATTTGCAGCAGCTGATGCTCCCGTGGACCTTACTTTTTTCTTCTGTCTGGTGGAGTCTAGAAGATATGAATATTTAGTTTTTTTGTGCATGTGTGGCGTCCAGTTCCTGGATTTCCTTCTGCAGGTAAACTTATAAAACAGGTCTTAGGAACTTAGTTGTCCTACATACTTGTGTAAATGATGCCTGGGTTGTCATGTCTGGGGGAATGTCTGGTGTCTCGTTATGTCTTGATTACCTATTGTGTACACCTGGGGTTCCCCTCCCTCATGTGTTCAAATAGTCCTCGTTTCCCAAGTCCTGTGCCAGTGCGTTTTCGTCTTTCTGTTCTCGTCACCCTTCGCCACGTCAGGTTGGATTTTACTTTAAGCCACAGCCATGCCATAGCCTCGTTTACTTTTTGCCATAGCCTTGTTTACCTTATTTGATACTTTGTGTTCAGAGTCATAGTTTAATCTTGATTTGATACTTTGTTCATAGTTTTGTCACAGCCATGTTTTGTCACAGCCATGTTTTTCCAGAGTCATGTTAATCTTCGTCTTTCTGTTCTCGTCACCCCTCGCCACGTCAGGTTTGATTTTTGTCACAGCCATGCCATAGCCTGGTTTACTTTTTGCCATAGCCTTGTTTAACTTATTTGATACTTTGTGTTCATAGTCATGTTTAATCTTGATTTGATACTTTGTTCATAGTTTTGTCACAGCCATGTTTTGTCACAGCCATGTTTTTCCACAGTCATGTTAATCTTGCTTTGTTACTTTGTCCATAGTTTTTTTCACAGCCTTGTTTTGAACTTTGCCTGCATCCACTCCGTTTGAGTGTGTTTTCGTTCAAATAAACCCTCCGCGATCCCACCCCTCCAAGATCCCTAACAATCTCGGAGGGGTGGGAGGACTGATCAGTCCTTTTAGGCTAGACAGCTCTGGGAATTTCTGCTGAGATCATTGTCCTTTACAACCCAGCCCAATAAGTGGGAGATACTGAATTGCTCACGGATTATAGAAAGTCAGACATTGTGACGCATCAAACGTAACAAACAAGTATTTTTTGTCCACGCAAACAGGTTTAAAAGTCTCACATTCTTTTTATTTGTCAGTACATCCCAGAATGAGTTGCTCCAGACTTACCGATACAGTCCCTTTGCGGCATCCAGACACATGCGAGCTTTCATGGCCCAGGACAGACTGACGTCAGAACTCAGAAAATCGCGAAGGTTTCCGTTGTCACAATATTCATGGATGAGGAAGAAACTAGGATTCGGAGCTAAAGGCAGTAAGAAATAATACAGCTTACAATTTCTATAGTTTAAGAATTGAAGTGCCGTGTGACTCAAAATCAATAAAAACGAAAACTTACAGTTCTCGTTCTCTATGCAGATGCCATACATCCGCAGTATGTGGGGGGACTCAAACTGTTTCATATTCTGAGCTTCCTGGTTGAAAATTGACTCCACCTTCCTACAAGTTTACATGTACAATGAGCATGTGAAAGTTGGAGCATATCAAATATTAAGGAACAATAATTATCTCTATGTCAATTTTCAAAATAACGGACTGATGTGGACTGTGCAGAAAGATAGCTATATATATATATATATATATATATATATACACACACACATTGACTTTTGCATGGGATTTCAGCACATACTTTGGGTTAGCGTTGGGGTTGATGTATCTCTTGATGGCCACAGAGATTCCTTTATATTCGCCTTGGAAGAGCTCTGAAGTCTCTGTTTTCCTGATGGGTTTTCTAGGCAAATCTGGAATGAACTTCAACTCGTCAAACTTAATATTTCTGATGTCCACATGGGTGCCTCCTCGGTCACTCACTGAAAAAAAACACAAATCCTTTTCAGCAATGCTTTATCTACATATCTACAACCACAACATACTGTAAGAAAGCAGCACCAGACTCAAAATTTTATTTCATAGTTATGATATATATGTATACTGAATTTAGGAATACTTACATATATTCAAAATTTTCTCCATGTTCTCCTCCATGGAACGCATGTGTTCCAAGAGTACTGAGGAGCAAGCAAATGCAGTCAACACAAGGATAGCAGCAGTGAATACTGACCAACTTTTCATTCTCTATGAAGAAGGAAATCTTTTTTTTTTAAACATCCGACTTCTCTCACATCTGTTTAAAACAAAATAAAGTAAATATTGCTTTCTCTTTCAAATGGGCGCTTAAAAATGAAACATTTCCAGTTATAAAAGCAGAAAAATGGTTCATTTTTTAAATGAAACTTTTTTTTTTGTTCGTTGGAGCTGGAGAACTTGTTTTTGAGCATATTAGCACTTAGATTAACTCAGGTTTGCTCAGTCTGATCAGGTAAAGTCATCTTTTTAACTAATCAAGCTCAACTATGCCACCAGGGACAGGGATTATATATCCAGTTAATAATCATCCACTGTACCCTTAAATGGCAGACAAAGGCTTTATCAATCCTGTGTACGTTTCTGTATCCTCTTTTTAATGCTTTGTTGTTTATTGCTGTATTGCACAATACATGAAGGACAAGGAGTTTTGAACATGAATTAAATTAAACCTGTTAAAATCCATAAGAACGCCTACTCTTCATATAACTGTGACGTTCTGGCTCCGCCACCGGTAATCAGCGACATTGGTCGCACCTGCCATGGGCTGCTCTTAAGCCCCACTCACGCTTTCACCTGTGCCAGAACGTCTCTAACCTAATGTGCGAGTCTTCCAGCGTTGTTTCTGCCTGCCTGCCTGTTACGTCCGTTTCGTCCCCGACTCCGAGCCTGCCTGCCCCTCGTCTGATTATCCTGCTTCGCCTGAGTCCTGCCTGGCCCGACTCAGTGCTCTGCCTGCCTGCCCGTGTCCCCGACCCAGCCTGCCTGACTCCGCGCTCCCGTCTGATCCCTCTGGACTGTCTCCCCGGCCTCGACCCCTGCTCGCTCCTGGACCCCCCTTTGGATTACCCTTATCGGATTATTCCTGGACTGACTCCCCGTTGCCGACCTCGCCTGCCTGACCACCCCCACTGGTTTGTCCCATCGAATAAACCTTTCGAACTGATCGTTTGCCTCCGGGTGTTTTTGGGTCCGCTCACTCGTACATTACAATAACTAAAATAGAAGCAGGGGTCAGGAGATAACTTTGGCCCCCCACTCACCCCAAACAATCCCTCAAATACATCTTACTCTACAAATGAGCATTGCATAAATCCCTCCTGATTGATTAAATCAAATTAAAAAAAAGAAACCCATGGATCCACAGGTCATCGAAACAGTTTCTAGTGGAGCGTCTCGGTAAAGATAAGAGCAAAATGTGGATTTCTCACATCTCCTTAACTCGGCCTCGTCCTCCTTTTCATCGGCCCTGTCTTGGGCTTCCCTGGTAGACTTTTGAAACAGCTCCTGCAGTCCCTCTCCCAGTCCGACCACCTGAGCTCCGGACAGGACCTGGAAGGCGTCGTCCAGCCGATCGTTCACGCTGCCGAACTCGTCTTCGTACTTGCCGGACTTCAGGAACCGATCGATCCAGTCTTTTTTGGTGTACGTCTGAATGAGCTTTTGAGCCGACCGGAGGGTGGTGGACAGATCTCTGATGGCGTCCTTTAAAACGGGAGTTTTTGTAATGGCACCGCTGTTTTTGAGGGATATCACCAGCCCCTCCAGGCCTCGGACTCTCTCGGCCACACGCTGGCAGCGCTGATGGTTAGACTTCACGTTCTCGACCATTTCGTAGATTTTAGAGGCAACGGACACGATGGGCTCGATAAAATCCATCGTGGGCTGAGAAGACAAAGACACAAAAGACACTGTCAAAAAGGTGGATCTTGGAGGGAGGACTCAGTCGCGGAGATTCATGAAAAAGGTTTATTTTAACAAAAACGCACTCAAAAGAGTGGATGACAGGACAAGGTTCCAAAACAAGGCTGTG